TATGTTTTCCTCTAAAAAGTAGAATCAACTCACATATGGATAAAAAAATGTGGTATTTTGAAGTAATGAAATTTGTTTGCCCATGTGAAGTATTGATCTATGTGACAATATGGGCAACATTTGAAAATATAATGCTCAGTGAAAAGAGTCAATAGCCACATGTCACTTGATTCTGTTTATGAGACATGTCCAAAGTAGGTAAATCCACAGACAGAAAGATTAGCTGCTGCCTAGGGTTGGGGGAAGGAGGTAAGAGAAAACTGAGAAGTGGCTGATAAAGGGGATTGGGTTTTGATTTGCATGATAAAAAATGTTCTAAATCTGATTGTGGGGATGGTTGCCCAACTCTACATTAAGAACCATTGGTTTGTGCTCTTAAGATGTGTGAGTGTGTAATATGTGAATTATATCTTGATAAAACTGTTTTTAAAAACCTCACCAGAACTTAGTACTCTTTCCATGGATAAGAGATGCAATACAGAAAGCGGTTGATTTAGCAAAGCAATGGCATTTGGCTTTCACCTCCACCCCTTGTAGACACTGTTGCTTTGAGTTCATTTATAACGTTATCTGTTTTTTCCTCTTGATATGTAATCAGAGCTCAGAGCCTCCACAGGAAGTCCATAACAGTTCTATCAAAGGAACTTAGAAAACCCATTTAATAACATTATCTAACAGTGTATTAAAGCCCCACTTTGATGCCATTTTACAATCTAAGCCCTACTTTCCACTTTGAAATGACAGAAGGACTTAGACAGATAACATAACTTAACTTCACAACATTTTTTTCCTTGAGAAGAAAAAAAAGTCTATCCTGTTAAGGACAAAGAACACAGTATTCTCAGGTACTCTTAAATCTCTATGTAAACTCTAGTTCTCTCAGAACTTAAAACCACAGAACTCAGTCCAAAATATAGGCATAGCACTTGGATAAAATCAAGGTTGACTTAAAGCAAACTGTTTAAAGACCAGTCTGATGGGTCGCCATGGGTTGTTGTGTCTCTAAATTAGTGTCATGAGTGTTCTATTTCACCAGCTAGTTCACCCACCTGAATCGCACCTTTCTAAAATATGAAGTCACACCAAATTATCTTTTTAAAGAGTTTATTCTCCAACTTGTTCCTATACTGAACTAGACTTAAGTAACAAATGTGCTAAATGCACTAACAACTCACAGTGTAGTGTATGTGTGTGTGTGTGTGTGTGTGTGTGTGTGTGTATTCTCCTTGATGGTACTAAGATTTGAACTCAGTGTTTCAAGCTTGCTTGGTAGACTACTAAATGCCTTCACTACTTTTTTTTGTTTGTCCTGGTTACTGTGAGCTATTATCACTTTTTGCCTAAGCCAGTCCAGATGGCAATCCTTTTTTTTTTTTTGCGAGTTGCAGGGCTTGAACTCTGGGCCTGGGCGCTGTCCTTCAGCTCTTCAGCTCAAGGCTAGTGCTCAATCACTTGAGCCACAGCACCACTTCCGGCTTTTTCCGCTTATGTGGTGCTGAGGAATTGAACCCAGGGCCTCATGCATGCAAGGCAAGTGTTCTACCACTGAGCCACCTTCCCAGCCCTGGCAGCCCTCCTATTTATGCTACCTTCTGTCACCTGGGTGATCCATATGCACCACCATACCCAGATTTTTCTGTTGAGATGGGGTCCATGAACTTTTTTGTCAGGTTGGTTGTAATTGTGATCCTTCTAATCTCAGTATCAGGAGTAACTGGCATGATAGGCAGAAATCACCACAACAAGCTATTGGTTGAGATGAGTCTCAAGATCTTTTTGCCTCAACTGGTTTCAAAACCATGATCTTCCTGAGTAGTGAAGATTACATCAGCACCCATCCTCAATCTATTTTTCTTTCCAGTGGTTCTTCTGACATAAAACTGTTTTTGTAAGTAGAATACACGTAAGAGAATTTTGGAGGTTAATTCTTAGAACTTAGATGGATTTTTGTCACTGTTTATTCAAGCTTCGCTCAAGCATTTATCATTTATGAGAACTGTCTCAGAGCCAGACACTAAAAAAGGTACTGGATCATGAAATTAATAAGTTATAAGCCCTAGCCTTAAAAGTGTTTACAATCCATGAGGCAGAAGGATCTCAAAGGAATCTAAGTTTGGGTGCTTCAGAAGAAATGTTCCTAATTAGCTCAATATTAGTGATTCTGAAAAACGCTTAAAATGTATTTATGTATGTATACTGAAGACAGAGATAACACATTTCATTTTTATAAGTATTTTTGTCACTCAGGGGCAAAAGAATCTAGTTAAGATACTATGAATCAGGGCTGAGACTGAGGTTTCTTAGCACAAAATTTAAAGAGAAAAGTACTCATATTTAGATCCTGCAAACATAGTCGGCCTCCAAAAGCATTGCTTCTAAACATAGCATCCAGGGCATGTAGTTATGAAAGATTAAGAGAAAAATGGTTTTATATCTGGTTGTATATATTTGGGACATCCCATAGCAAATGTTTTGTAAGTTATTTGATTCATCAAATATCCAACTGTAATCGTAAGAATATATTACTATACAAAGGTAGTATTGCAGAGCACTCATCATGCCTGTAAACCTAGCTACTTAACAGGATGAGATCTGAGAATCATGGTTCAAAGTTAGCTGGGGCAGGAAAGTCCAAAAGGCTCCTATCTCTCTAATTAGCAACCCAAAAGCCAGAAGGTAAAGTGCCAAGCTTGAGGGGAAAAGCTCAGAGACAGTATCCAGGCCTTGGGTTCAAGCCCCAGTCCTGTCACAAAAAGAGTGTGATTGAGAGAAAGAGAGAGAAGCTGGTTACCAATTGCTCATGCCTGTGATCAATCCTAGCTACTTAGGAGGCTGATAGCTAAGAACTGAGGTTTGAAGCCAGCCTAGGCAGGAAAGTCTGTGAGACTCTCATCTCTAATAAGCTACTCAGTAAAGGCCAGAAATGGTGCTGTGGCTCAAGTGGTAGGGTGCCAGCCTTGAGCAAAAAGAAGTTCAGGGAGGGTGGAGGGCGGGGGGGGGGGAAGTGAAGCTGTTGAGATCGGAGGGAAGGGATGGTAGGGGGAAAACAAAGGAGGAGGCAATAATGCTTGATAAGAAATGTACTCATTGCCTTGCTCATGTAACTATAACCCCTCTGTACAGTATTTTCACAATAAAAAACTTATTAAAAAATAAAGCTCAGGGAGAGTACACAGGCCCTGAGGCCCTGGGTTCAAGCCCCAGGACGGAGAGGAGAGGAGGGGAGGGGAGAGGAGGGGAGGGGAGGGGAAGGGAGTGGAGAGGGAGACAGAGCTCTCCTTTGGGAAGAATGGATAATGCAGGAAAGGGAAAGATGAAATATAATTAGCATACCAAACTGAATGCCAAGAAAAGCTTAAAATAGCTTCTTTATAAGCATCTTTCTATGATCAATAGCAAATGAGCTAAATGAAGAGGAGTGAAATAAATCAGGTACAAGTTATTAATATTCTCAAGACAGATCATTTTGGAAGGTTGGCGCCTGAAGATGAGTTTTCCTAGTTTCCTCGGTCGGGGTTGGTGGTTATTCAGGGCCAAATGAGATGATGGATATACTTCAGCTGCAGGAACATAATCCTAGGTCAGAACACAGTATCAATTTGTATTTGCTACCCCCCAAAACAGTTTCATATTTAGATACTTTATTAAATATGTAAGTAAGGAGAAACTTAAAGGCACTAAAGTTAGGGGAGAAAGGTTTTCCTATTAGATCAAAGTCATGTGACCTTTAACTCATCACCTCACGTTATCACCCCTGTGTGACAGTGTTCAGTATCAGGGGAGAGTGTTACTGAAGCAGCCTGACAAGCTCCAAGTCAATGTAAAGTAAAGCAATCCCTCAATGCTGGCTTTATTGAATCTTATTCTCTTTACATTTTAAAAAATGTTAAGAGCTATCATCCATTTATTTTGGGTTGGTGGTATATTTCTTCTTTCATTTCACTGCAAAATAATTTTTTTTTTACTCACTACACTATTGAGTGTTAGAATTAGAATGTCATCTATTCAAGAGAGCCTAGGAAATTTTGGTTATGGTTGTGACTTGCTTATAAAACTATTTGTTACAATCTCTAAATGAGGTTTTGCATGTTTTACATCAAAAGCAAATCTACTCCAAGCTGAAAGTTCTCAATACCATATGCCATGAACCAGCAAAATGCTGGATTGGAGCTATGCATCAAGTAGTAGAGTACCAGTTGTAATCAAGAAACCTGCAAACTTTAAGTCCTAAGTCCAAGCCCCCATATTGTCACACATATGCATGCAAATAACTATAAAGTTCAGGCATGGTAGTACACAGGTGTAATCCCAGCACCAGGATTAGGAGGTATAGAGATGAGGTTAGTTGATCTCTAGAGTACATTCCAGGCTTGGAAACAACTAAGATGTCCTTCAATAGGTGAATGAAATGTTGCTACACCCCAACAATGGAATAGTAGTCAACACTAAAGAAATGAACTAAGGAGACATAGAGGAACCCTAAATGCACAACACTAGTGAAAGAAGCCAAAGTGAAAATGCTGCCTAATGTATGACTCCAACTATGTGATGCTATGGAAATGGCAGGAAAAGGGTCAGTGACCAGGAGTTATGGAAGAGATGGATACACAGAGCACAGAGATTGTCATGGAAGTAAAATTTTTGTATGATATGACAATGGTAGGTATCATTATACATTAGTCAAAACTCAAATACCGTACAGCACTGACAGTGAACCCTAATATAAAATGTGGGCTACGGGTGGTGAGAAGTCGTTATTGTTAAGATCATCGGTATTAATACACAGGCTGTTCTGGAGGGGTATTGGTCATGGGAGAGGCTGTAGAGTGTGGTCAGGGAATGTATGGACCTCAACAGTAGGGAATAGGTAGAACTCTACTTTCTGCACAATTCTGCTGTGAACCTAAAATTGTTAAAAAAAAAAAATCAACTGTATCTAAAAGAAAGCAAAAACAAAATCTGCCAAAGGACACTACAGCATGTTTTATATTCATTTTTATTGAAGAATATTTATTATATAAAAGTTAATTTTATAATTTTAAAGATACATAATTACTTACATATAATACTGCCAGTCTAGGCTATGCATTACCACAATATTTTTTGGTCCGCAAACCTGCCTTTGTTTCCCCAACGAAGGTCTGATGCAGAATAACTGTCTCCATGGAGACAGGGATGGGAAATGAGGACTATTGGGGGGCCTTATTCCCCGTGGTTTCAGGGATGTTGGGAGGAACTGAGCACCCTGAACACATGACTCAAACATAAATGAGAAGAACTGTACAACTGTTCTTCCTGAGGTTGTCACATAAAGCATGTTCCGTGTCACTGTAAATTTTCACTCCTCATAAGCTACAGCCATGCTACCTAACCACTCCTGTGTCCTGGGTTGTCAGTAACCAGCTTCTAATTTCCACTCCTTAAAATATTTCTCCATTGTGCTCCGGGATCTCCAGGTACCCATGTTCACAGTAGGGATGATTTTCTGGGGCCTCAGCCACTGGACAAAACGTTTCATTTCTAGATAGCTGCTGTGTTCACTATACGGAATTCCTGCAAGACCAAAGAAATGCCACTATCTACTAAAAGTCATACAAAAAATTCTCCACTATAAAATTTAATAGAAGACAAATGCGACCTGCAATATTCCTGTCAATTCCCTGATAAGAAAACTTTGGTAAGAAAACTTGACACCTTCTATAAATAATAAAGATTAAAACATTAAAATAATAGAAAACTCAGAAAGGTCGAAATCCTATCACTTTTCTATGTTTAGACAGACATTCCTAGAAAGTCCTATTTAATTGAGATTTTCTTCTTTTTTAAGTAATTCTTCCTTTATACAACTTCCTCTTTATACAACTACTTAATGATAATTTTAAAAAATAGTTCTTCCCTTTAAACCTTTTTCTCAATGATTGATTTCAGAAAAATGTGGAAGAAATGAGTACAACAGATAAGTAGGAGACTTTAATTTCTACGTAAGTAAGCAGATTTTAGTGTTAAAATTTGATATACATAAAAAAATAAAATAAAAAGGAAGATAATGTCCCTTAGAGAAGAGTTAGAAGGGTGTTGTTTGGTGAGATCTGGGGTCTTCAGAGGCTGAAGTAGGGGGCTGGGAAGGTGGCTTGGTGGGAGAGCGCATGCCTTGCATGCCAGAGGCCCTGGGTTTGATTCCTCAGCACCACATAAGCAAAAAGAAAAAAGCCGGAAGTGGCGCTGTGGCTCAAGTGGTAGAGTGCTAGCCTTGAGCTGAAGAGCTGAAGGACAGTGCCAGGGCCTGGAGTTCAGGCCCCATGACCGGACCCAAAAAAACAAATGAACAGAGGCTGAAGTAGGTCAGCATCATGGCAAACCTCCCCCAGAGATGAAAACCCTAAATCTTCTTCCTGCTTTCAATCCCACAACAGCGCCACCTAAATAAGACTTCTGGCAAAGGATCACAGAATCTTTCAAGAATTCCAGTTTCCTCTAAAGGTCATGACAAAAACTAAGTGGAGTGTGTTAGTCAACACCTGTCTACTGGTCCAGTTCTTTGATGTCAGTCTGCAGTGGACTATCAGATAAAGGTTAGAGTTAGAGATCTGAAACTCTCCAACTGGTAACATTTTTGCTCCCCTTGGCTCTTGATTGAACAGCCACTTTTAGCATTACAGGTAGGATAATTAAATAATCATACCATATATTGAAATGTTTCCTTTGGTTTGGGGAGTAACATCTGCTATATTAGTTAGTTTGTTGGAGTGTGTCCATCCTGTAGGTCGAAAAGCCAGAATCTGATCATATTTCCCACCACATTTCTTTAAATGACTTTGTAAACCCTGCTGAATAAAAATAACATATTGATTTAGCCATCAGAGGGGATGGGTTATGTGGAATTAAAGGTAGTGATTAAAGATGTTACAGTGGTACGATCATGGTTTTTTTTTTTCATGTGGTTGGATTAGCTTGCCAAGCTTGTAAAGAAATAAAGTACATAAAATCTTCTCTCCTTTTCTTATCTAAACAAGCCTAGGAACTGTCTGAAAAGAAGTTATGATGAAGCAATTCTGAACAAAATTGCTGTGTGTAAACAAGCTAGAATTCAAATACCTACAAAACCCCCACTTCAAATCCAACTACATAGGGACACTAATAATAACAACAGTAAATAAATATCAGTGCAAATTAATGCTGTGAATACAGACAGAGCAGTGAGAAGACAGAAACAGTTTTCTGAGTAGTATTATACTCAACACAGACACATGCTATAAAGATAAGTGATAACGTTCTTCTCAGGTGTTTATTCTTGTCATCTTGTAAATGACTGATTTTCAAACTCTTCATGCCGTTACAATTCAAAGTAACCTATTTTTCTTACAATATAACCTCTTGAATATAACCTCTCCATCTAGGGGGTCAGGCATGTGACTCACTCCTTCCACTCAGCTATTTGGAAGGAGGAGATTGGGAGGAACACAGTCTGAGACCAGATCCTTTAGTTAGTGAAAGAGATGGTAAACACCCGCTCCAAGTATGTTGGAAGCCTTTGAAATACTACTATGATTAATGCCATTCATTCAACCCAGTTCATTCCAAGGTCCTAGATGTGATTGGGATTGACTTCAACTCTGATTTAAAGCAGATCAGTTGAATGTTCTAAAACATAATAACATTGCTGATCTAGATAATTATTTGAATTATTGTTTCTCTCTGTTTATTGGTAATCCATTTATGAAAAACTAGTTTATGGAAAGAAATGGTTTGTCATGTTAGTAGAATTATCTTTTTCAAACTCAAAAGCTATTTTGGTTAATAAAATCGATCTAAATTACTAGCCTAAAAATATTCACAATAAACATTTCTGGATCATTAAAAAAATATGTGTTCTTAAATAACTTGAGCTTAGGGCTGGGAAGGTGGCTCAGTGGTAGAGTGCTTGCCTTGCATGCCTGAGGCCCTGAGTTCGATTCCTCAGCACCATATAAGCAAAAAGAAAAAAAAAGCCGGAAGTGGCGCTGTGGCTCAAGTGGTAGAGCGCTAGCCTTGAGCTGAAGAGCTGAGGGACAGCGCCCAAGCCCAGAGTTCAAGCCCCACAACCGGCCCCCCCCTCCAAAAAAAAGAAAGAAAGATGCCAAAAAACCATTTTCTTTATTCACTATATGTTATTCATAAGACACAGTGATCAGTAACCTATTTTGAAAGGCTTCATATAAGTCACTTCATAAGGCCAGCCATCCTAGCTACCCAAGAGGAATAGACTGTGAGGTTCAAGGCTAAACTTTGCAAAAAGTTATCAAGACTGCATCTCAACCAGTAAGTTGGGTGTGGTAAATTAGGTCTGTAAGCCCAGCTACAAGTTAAGCAAAGGTATACAGAGTGGAGTCCAAGGCTGTCCTTGGAAAATATTAGAGACTTTATCCAATAAAATAAAATAAAATGAATAAGTAAAGCAAAAGAAATACAATACGGTTACTTCATAAAAATTATAGCAAAAGTAACACCTTTCCTTGTGTTTTATCTTCTAAACCAAAGTTAATCCACAGCTCACATACATTCTGTTGGCAGGCATTAAAATGTTAGTATATGGAATAAATTTTAGTTAGTGATTAAATCTGAGAGCTAACCCTAATCACAGTGAAGTATCTCACTTCGTCATGATGTACTTTCACTATTTCATTTAACCACTGGAAGTAAATTTTCAACATATGTCAATGTTATAGAAGCTTAACAATAAAAAATAATAAATGTTGGGTGCCAATGGCTCATGCCTGTAATCCTAGCTACTCAGGAGGCTGAGATATGAGGATCACTGTTCAAAGTCAGCCGTGGCAGGAAAGTCCATGAGAATCTTATCTACAATAAACTACTAAAAAAAAGCCAGAAGTGGTACTGTGGCTCAAGTAGTTGAGCACTATCCCTGAGCACAAAGAAGCTTAGGGACAGTGCCCAGGCCCTGAGTTCAAGCCCCAGGACCAGCAAAAAAAAAAAAATTAAATTAAAAAATATATATGGGGGGGCAGGGGAGGGAGAGAGAAAAGACTCAACGAAAAGCAAGAACTTGGGATTCTCCATTCATTTCTCCCTTCACCAGAAGGATCTAGAAAATGAAATGGAAAGTTTGGATGAGCACAAAGTTATATACTTTCCCATTTTGTTTCTTCCTGTATGCTAGTTCCTTAGTTATGACACTCCTGGAGGGCATATAAATTATTCTGTAGAGTTACATGCACCAAAAAATATCTAAAAACACTGAAAAGTTCCACTGAAAATTTTTGTAGGGTAGTTTTCCTATAAGAGAGTCTATTATCATTTAATTCCTAGTTCTCTGCAGGTCACTCCCAGTTACAATCATCAAATTACCTTTTCTGGGTCACCCTAAAGTCACATCTCTTAGATACTCACCTTAACATTAATTTGCATCATTGGGAGAAGGTGGACAGAAGAGGTACACATGTCTGTAGTGATGACAGAGTTAATTTCTGGTATGTTGAGGCACTTCAGGGTCCTGTATTTTTCTTGGGACATGCCCACTTTTGAGCCTAAAACATCAGCAATGGCTATACGCCAAGAAACAGGTTAAACATTATGGAAATCAGGTAAAATTACAACTTATAAACAAAAAAAAACAAAGTAACAGCTCAACCCAATTTTAAAATACAAATTCACTCAATAAAACCAAATTCAATGTGTAGATTGTTTTGTAGCTAGTGTAGAAAAAACTGAGAAATCTGAAGAATTTTTTTTAAGCCTATTGTTTTAAATGGCAGAAGATAGATAGAAAGGGATAGAAGGAAGAAAGGGACTAGATCTTGCTGTTATCACTTCATATCTGAATACTTTTCATGTAATGTGACCATACTGGAGACGTAGTGGAAAGAAAGCACTCTATAAGCATGGTACAATACTAGGTAACTTACTTACCGGATTACAGATGTCACTGAGCAACAATTGTCACCACTATTTCCTAAAAGAATTAACTGATGGGTTATCCTAGATGAATGGTGCAAGACAACCATTCATTGGTCAGCCTTCAAAGTTCAAGTAACAGCGTGGAATGAATATTTGCCTATAAACATCTCTAGACACAAAGGCCACGATAAATACATTTATCGAATGTTTCCATAAAGTTAAGCCTTTTAAAGTTGAAATGTATCAAATGTTGTCAAATATGCCTTCAACTTCAAAAGTCATAGTGGATCATTACAGGAAACAATTATCAGTGGAGACTGAAAAGGCTTTATGCAAAAAGAATCTGATCTTTATAATATATTAATGTAAATTAGATACGGTTGCCACCCACCTAGGAAGACTTTCTCTTTTCCAATGCAGTATGTGCCACAGACAACAAGAACACGTGGGTTTAGAGTTACAGCCTCAAAGGCAGTGTTGATGGCAAACTGGATAACCTCCTGCTGAGATGGAAAGGTGTATTCTGGGCTGCAATATCTGTAATAAGGAAATGTAGCGTGTCATAAAAGAACAATAGGCTACAGACTACATTTGGATGCTATTTGAGCATATTATGTAGAGCAGCAGTACAATGTGCTAACTATACCATTATCTCACTTACTGGTACCCAATTCAAATATCTGCAACCTGGTATTGTTGATAACTTTTCAATTTATTTTTTCAATTGTATTTCTTTTATTGCTCTCCAACTCCTTTCTGAGTTTTTCCCTTCTAAGAATATTCTCAGGCAGGCAGCTATAGATTATAAACACACACACACACACACCAATCATTATCAAAGAAAACACTTACTGATAGAGATTACATTTGAACTAGAGAATTTTCATTTAATTAAAAATCAAAATAATGAAACCAATCATGAATTTAATGTGCTTCAGTTGAACAGCTAAGATTTGAAGTATGGATATCATCTCTTCTTCCATACACACAAAAGGTACATGTGGTATTACAGGAATACCACAGATACAGTTGGGACTAAATTAAAAATCAACCAGTTGAAGTTTGACCCTATGATACTATCTATGTTTTGAGATGAAAAGTAAATACTACTTCCCCAAAATGGACTAAATTACAAACACCAAATAAGCATATTTACCTCCAGCTTTCGAAATTGTTTTTGTTAGTAAGATATGTAAAAAGAGGAGAAAGTTCTTTTCCTGTAAAAATCCCACAAATATTTAGAATTATATATTCAGACTAGAACTATGTATCAAGTTTTTTAAAAAATGTGTTTTCCTAATTTTCTATACTTAGAACAGGCATAAAAGAGAGGAAAAAAAGAGTTATCGTGAAAACACTAGATGTGGGGAAATCAGCTTTTACTAACATATACCAACCAAACTAAATTCGCCTTTGAAAAAGGTGGCTAGCTGCCACCCTTTCAAATTTGGCAATTTGACTAATGAAAAATAGTGAATATAACTGATTTCTAATAACTAAGTATTTTAACATATATCACACTGGATACCACAAATCTAGACAACTTATCTTTCAATTATTCCTTAATAAAGCTGAGAAAAATATGTATGTAATTAAATAGGATGGCTTACACCCTTGTGTTGATAGCACCAAGGAATTCAGAGACAACACAAGTTAGCTTTCTGAGAAAAGAACAAAAGCAATTTTCAATACTCAGAAACACAACTGCACTGTGGCCTCTTTTTATCACCAGTTATTATTCCTAATAACTGTATACTTTGGAAAGATAATCTTAAGGGTGTGTTCTTAAAGTCTGCCCCCAAAGTTTTCTTCCTTTGTTCAATAACAGGATTCTTCTGTAAATTTCCAAAATTAAAAATCTAAATTTTCTTTCTTTTTTTTGTCAGTTGTGGGCCTGAACTCTGGGCCTAGGCACTGTCTCTCAGCTCTTCAGCTAAAGACTAGCACTCTACCACTTGAGCCACAGCACCACTTCTGGTTTTTTCTGCTTATGTGTTGCTTTGTAATCCAACCCATGGCCTCATGCATGCGAAGCAAACACTACCACTGAGCCACCTTCCCAGCCCCAAAAATGTAAATTTTCAAACATAATTAAAAAATAAGCTATAGTCTGTTAAGACACATAGTCATTGTACTTGCCCTTTAGCAAATATATATATTTTTTTATTGTGAAAATACTGTACAGACGGGTTACAATTACACGGGCAAGATAATGAGTACATTTCTTATCAAGCATTGTAGCCTCCTCCTTTGTTTCCCCTTCCCATCCCTTCCCATCCTCCCCTCAACCCCCACCCAAT